CAATTACTTGAGCCTAATAGTAGTAAAGTTTTTTCTCTTCCTTTCCATTCTCATCTGATTGAGGTTACTCATAAAAATGAGATGGCTTAACGGGCAGGAAGTATGAGGGAGAGAAAACAAGGAACCTGGATAATTTACAAACTACATAATCAATTCTTAAGTGATTGGAAGTTGCTAGTGTTTAACACAAATCTACTTGTGTGTGCCAAAATATACAGAAAATATAGAAATAGAATTTCTGCTCTCAAATTAGTTGATGTTCTAGATAAAAGATTTCAGGTTTCTGAATAAAGAGAAGGCATGTGAACACTAGAAAAATGCTAAAATAAATACTACTTGTAACTTCAAGTGGACCCAAATATTTTTCTCCAATGTGGCAAAGTAAAAATAATCTGGGCCATAGGCCCTTGGTTTCAGTTCTGACTCCTCTACTGCCTAGCTACATGACCTGGCTTTTTTGGTTTCAGTTTTCTGCAAAAGTATGAGTTTAATTAGATAAACTGCCTCTATAATGTATTCCATCTTTAATAACCTATGCCCCAGAGTCTTAGGCTGGGTTCTGTAGAGAAGCAAAACCAGTAAAGTGTATAAATATATATGAGAGAGAGATTTATATCAAGGAAATAGCTCATGCGATTGTAAAGGCTAGAACGTCCCATGTCCGTGGATCAGGGTAGAGACCTCTCCCAAGTCACACAGCCGCAGAAGCTGGCAAGCTCAAGATTGGCAAGTCAGAGAGCAGGGTCCCACTCACAGGCTGTGCAGATGGACGAATCCCAAGTTCAGCAGATAAGCTGACAGCTCAAGTCCCAAGAACTGGAGATGAGACGACAGGAGGCAGCCGCAGGATCCAGAGAGAGCAAAAAGCCGGAACGTCTGCTTATATTCAGATGCAGGCCACACCCCCAAGGACGCTCCCTTTCACCTGACTGGCTACTCACAGTATATTCAATTATGGGAGTGATCACATTAAAACATTGAGAATCATGGCCCAGCCAAGTTGACACACAATCTTAACCATCATACCCAGGATATGAATATTTCCACAGGGGGTGAAGTAACTACCATTCACATGGCTCAGAGAGCTCTGCAAAGTCTAACATCTTTACATCATCAGAAAGCAGTTGTTGAGTGCTTACCATCTGTGCCAGTTCATGTTCCTATATCCTCCAAGTCTCTTTCCTTGCTATGTTTTTATTATGGTTTGTATGGGTTAAAATCCCAAATCCTTTCTCCTAATGGGAATGCTATTCTCCTGAGGCTTCACTTCCCCCTTTGTTAGCAAGGATAGTTAATTAGCTCCAAAGCGTGAAGGTTAGAGTCGTACAGGGAATTGTGGCAACATCTGTTTGTTCCGGAAAATCTATGCAAATAACCGAGGAATTACTGTTACTAAGCATGTATAACACAATTCAATCTGTCCAAAGCATTTTATAGTATTTTCTATTGTTTATTCTTCCTGGCAAAACCCAGCCAAAAAGAAAGTAAGGGTAGAACAGGTCTTGGGTCCTCAGCCCATTGATGGGTCTCTAGCAGCACATTGCATGGTGGCCAAAGGGTTACAAGAACTGAATTGGAGGGGTGGGAGTGGAGAATATTAGAACTGTTGGGGTTTTTATTTAAAGTTATAAAATACTATAGCTCAAAATCATCTTTTAAAGGATCTACATATAGATAGATAAGCACAGATAGGTACATACAAAAAGAACTGGAAGATCATACTTTAAGATGTAAACTGGTTATCTCTGGATAGAAGGACTAAAGAAGGGACAGTGTGGCTGGAGCTGAAATAGGAGAAGGATTGTAGTATGGATGAGGCTGGAGACAAGTTAGGAGCCAGATCATGCAGGGTCTCATAGTCCAGATTAAGGATTTTATCTTTATCCAAAAAGCAATAAGAAGGCATTGAAGAGTGTTAACCTGGAGGTGGGAATGGGGATAACTTGATCAAATTTGCATCAAAAAAAAACGCTATACGCAGAGTAGAGCCCTGGTGGCACAGTGGTTAAGAGCTTGGCTGCTAACAAAAAGGTGGGCAGTATGAATCCACCAACTGCTCCTTGGAAACCCTATGGGCAGTTCTACTCTATCCTCTAGATTTGCTATGAGTTGGAATTGACTCGATGGCAGTGGGTTTGGGTTTTGTATGCAGAGTGCAAACAGAAAAGAAAAAAAAAAAAAGGCAAGAGTGGATTCATGTGGTCCATCAATGAGATCTTTGCAAATGTTTCACGCAAGTGAAAATGGTGACTTGACTAGGGTGGTCCTAATGGTGGTGGGGAGATAAGAATAGACTCGAGATATTTAGAAGGTAAAAATCAACAGGACTTGATGATGGAATAGATGTGTGTTTGTGTAAGGAGAGGGCATGAGAATAGGAAGAGACAAGGATGGTTTCCAGGCTTTTGTATGTCTGCAGAGTATTTTTGGTTTTAGTGCTGAAGGCAAAGTGATGAATTAAATGTCTTCTCCAGGTTCATTTCAGACTAAGGCTGTGGCTTTTTAATTTTTCCTCTTCCCTAGCCTGATTGTCTCTTTTAAGTGTACAGAGGAAGAGCCCAGGTTAAAGAATTTTGAATATTTCTTTTTATTGAGGTATATTTATCTAAAAACCAAAACCCATTGTCGTCGAGTCGATTCCAACTCATAGCGACCCTATAGGACAGAGTAGAACTGCCCCATAGAATTTCCAAGGCTGTAAGCTTTACAGAAGCAGACTGCCACATCTTCCTCTTGAGGAGCAGCTTGTAGGTTCAAGCAGCCGACCTTTTGGTTAGCAGCTGAGAGCTTAACCACTGTGCCACAGGGCTCCTCCCATATTTATATAAGGTATACAAATCTTAAACGTAAAGTTTGATGAATTTTTAAATATGTATACACCAGTATAATCACCAACCAGCTCAAGATACAGAAATTTCCAGCACAACAAAAGGCTTCCTCTGGTCCCCTCCCAGTTAATAACTCCCGAGGGTAACAAATATTCTGACTTCTATTATTATTGATTAGTTATGCCTATTTTTGCACCCCATAAAAATGGACGGGGGAAAAGGGAAAAAATGGAATTAAGCAGTATGTATTGCTTTGTGTTTGATTTCTTTCACTCAACATTGTAAGATTTATCCATGTAATATTCTATTGTGTGAATATACCACAATTTATCTTTTCAACTTTTGATTGACATTTGAACTATTTCCAATTTGGGGCTATTATAAACAAGGTTGCTATAAACATTCCTGTAGGTGCCTTTTGGTGGACATACATACTCATTTTTGTTAGGTTTATAAGCAGAGGTAGAGCTGTTGGTTTAGTTTTAATAGGTAGGTACTGCCACACATTTTTCCAAATTTGTTCAATCGATTTACATGCCCTCTAGCAATGTGTGAAAGTTCCAGTCATTGTAACTCCTTGCCAATACTTGGTGTTGTCAGTCTTTTTAAAGCAATTGTGAACTTCTGAACTTCCAAATGGACCTTCATTCTATTTCCACAGAAATAATATAAGCTCTGCTGGGAAATGCATTCAAGGATGGTTCCTGGGATGCAGGATCCCTAACTGTCAAGATAAAGCACCAATCTCAAGGAGCCTGCAGCAGTGCCCGCTGTGCCTCTCTGACATGGGCAGAGGAGACCAGGATCCAAATGCAGCCCAACCCTGTCCTAACCTGGGGATTCTCAATGAAATTCCAGACTCTTGCCCAGTGGGCTGCTGGGTCATTCAGGGCATTGTGAGGCAAGACAGAACTAGAACAACAGGCTCAAAAAAGGAAGCTGACCCACTTCTGACCCACTCACTGTGTACATGTCTCTGAGGGGTCAGGCCTGAACAAGTAAGATAGGGCTGTCTTTCCCAAGGTGGCATTAGGGGTTAATGGCAGTGCCAGCTTGGGATGTGGAGAACCGTCTCAATCTGTCTTTGGTTCGGCTTGGAAAACAAATCGAAATCTCCTTGTAGGCAGAACTTCAGATGGGCCAACAGAGCTTCCAGGAGGTATGAGGCCTGAAGCCTGAAGGGACCAGCAGGTAACTGGGCACTGCAGCCTGAGGCCAGTCAGCCCCAAGCAACAGCATCCTGCTTCCATGAAGCGCTTCTTTGTCTGAGGAAAGTGGTGGCTGGCACTCAGATTCCTACAGGATCTTCTGAAAATGGAGGCAAGGGTGATCCTGAAGAAGCCCCCTTGTTTGCATGGTGACGATTGTCAGTCCACACTGGCCTGAGAATGCAAAAATAGCCACTCTCTTTCCTGTGGTTCAACCTGCCCTGATGGAGACGAAAGCTGGGCCCGGAGGGGAGGCTGACAGTGACCATCACGTCTCCTCCCCAGTTTAGGACTGTATGGGAGACGTAAGAAACCTAAATTACAGAGTAAGGCCTATTTCATAAAGCACAAGAGACAATGTAGCCTGGACGGCAGGTCATAGGAATCCAAAGGGGTCAAGCAAGGTCACCGTAAGCGGAAGGAAACTGAGGCGGGCAGTTGCGCTACCGGAGAGAGGTTCAAAGGAAACGGGGGAAGGAGGGGTAGAAGGCGGGGTGGAGAATGGAGCCTCAGGGTTCCCAGGGGTGGGGAGAGAGCGGCCACAGGGCCGGGGGAGACGTTCTCTGCGGTGGGAAGTTCTGGCGAGGCTGACGACGAATCCGAGACGTTCCCCACCCTCAGAGGACGATGGTTTCTGTCTTTCCCCACAGCATCCGGCCCTTTGCGACGGGGCACGGCTTGGGATAGGTCGGGGGAAACGGGCGCGGGGGATGAGAGGTACCCCGGTGGCGACTCCAGGGTAAAGGCGTGCGGTGGGAGGGACTCCTTCCCGGAGCAGGAATGGTCGTCCTCACTGCCGGGTGCTTGGGACTGGGCAGGCTGGGGTTCGAGGTCGGCGCCCAGAAGCCGGACTCCCTCGCCCCCGGCTCGCCCACTTCCAGCGGCCGCCAGACAACCGTTGGAAGGGGGCTAAGCAACAGCCGCGAACTTTCCTCTCGGCTCTAAACCCCGCCCCCGCTCGTCTTTGCAGTGGCTCCGCGAAGTGCGAAGTGCGGCTGCGCAAGAGTGACGGCGCGCGGGAGGGGGGAGGGGGTGTTTTGGTTCTAGTCGCTCGCCGTCGTTTCCAGACTCGGTCGTCCGGTAGCTTCTTGTTCCGGCCTTCCCTTCCCTTTTATTTTCCCTTCCCCAGCCCCGATTTTCCCTCCCTTCTTGCCTCCTGTCCCCTCCCCTTTTTCTACCTGCAACTCCGTGTCCGGGCCACTTTCAGGGCCGGGCGCACTACGGTGCGCGGTCCCGGGGCCCAGTATATGACCCGCCGTCCGGCTGCCGTTCACTTCCCCCGCCCTATGTGGCTGCGGGGCCGCGGCGGCTCTGCCTACTATGGCCCGGAAAGCAGTTAGCAGGAAGCGGAAAGCACCCGCCTCGCCGGGAGCTGGGAGCGACGCTCAGGGTCTGCAGGTGAGGGTTGAGAGCCCGGGGTATGGGTATTAAGGCCGAGGCACGAAGAGGGGCTTAAAGTCCACAGATGAGGAGACTGGAATGGGGCCTAAGGTCTGTAGTCAGAGGCACGGGACGAGAGCGAGGCCTGGGCCTATCGGGTCACGGATGGGCCCACAGGAGTTTACTGGAAAGCATGTAGACCGAAGGGGTGAGGAGCCGAAGGGGAACTCGGAAGTGGGGCCTCCGCTGGAGGCTGCAGTTGGGAGTGGGACCTTGAAGGAAGGGGAAACCGAAGTAAAAGGAAATCTGGAACAGAATCAATCAGGAGATACGGGGTGGGGGAATGAAGACTGTTTTCCAGGGGCCCCGGGAAGCGGGAAGGATTCGTAACTCATTGAAGAAAGATTCTTCCTGTGGATACCCAAGCCATGAATTTGGGCCTTTTGACATTTGGACGCTTAGGAGAAACTGCAATTCCCAAGTACCATTTTTATACCTCCCCATTTGGAGGGGAAGACCTTGTTGGACGCAGATTTGGGCTCTCATTTCCCGTGCCCTCCACCCCGTTTGTGTTTGATTTGTCGAATTCTGCAACTGACTGGAGTACGGGCACGGTGACGGAGCGGCCGTTGATAGTGCATCCCTGGAAGACCTAGGACCCCAATCACTCTCCTTGGGTTGCCCCCTTAAGGCTCTGCGGGGAGTGCAGTCTGAATGGGAGGAAAGGGCTGGGTTGAGATGCAGCCTAGGTCGGTATGGGAACCACTTGGCCCCTCATTCCCTTCCCTATGGTGGATAGCAATGGGGGATCTGAATCCTTCACTCCTAAAAGGTCTAGGAAACCTTACGTCCTGTTCTTTTCTGCTTCCGTTCCCTTGTGGCCTTTGTGATTCACACAGGTAGGTATGAACAGCATCTTTTCAATGTTAGAAGTATTAAACTGGACTTTTGGGATTAAGATTCTTGTGGTATTCCTGTTCTATGTAAAGGCTGCAGGATGAGTTCTTGGTGATTTCCTTAATACAGTGGAATTTCTTGTTCTGAAGGAAGGTAGCTAAAGGCCTGATTTCTAATTTACTTTCCACAGTTTGGCTGGGATCACTCACTTCACAAAAGGAAAAAACTCCCCCCAGTGAAGAGGTCCTTAGTGTACTACCTGAAGAGCCGAGAAGTCAAGCTACAGAGTGAAACCAGCTACTTCCGAGTGTTGCATGGTTATGCAGCACAGCAGCTTCCCAGTCTCCTGAAGGAGAGAGAGTTTCACCTTGGGACCCTTAATAAAGTGTTTGCATCTCAGTGGCTGAATCATAGGCAAGTGGTTTGTGGTACAAAATGCAACACGGTAAGTATATTGTCTTGTGGACATGAACTTTCTCCTAGGTCCTGGATATGTGGCTCCACATGCTCTAGAACCTCTCAAGGCTTTTTTCCCCTATCTTTGGGGAGGAGATTGACTTACTCTCCTTTCCATTCCCCTCTATCTGTTGATGACCTCTTCCTCTTTGTTTTTACTCCTTTTCTGGCTTCTATGCTTCTTTTTTAGTAAGTTTTCAGAAGCATCTATTTCTTTAGGTCTCTTCTTGATGTGCTGCTTCTTCTAGACTTAGTTTTTCTTCCCACCTGTTTTTGCTTTGTTTATGCCACTTTGTTTTGGGGTTTTTGTTTTTGTTGTTTTTTGGGGTTTTTTTGCCTTTTGATGTTGCTTTCTAAGTCAAGAGGCCTCAGAGGAACACTTTAGACTTTTATGGCATCATTCAGGATGTATGATAATGAAAACCTAAGTGTTATTTGCCAGCATAAGGACGTATGTAGAATACTTGTGTATTTAAAATACTTAACGTATTTGAACTACTGTGTAATTATATGTAATAAATACTATGACATATTTAAAATATTTCTGAAAATAGTAAATAATGCAAATACTCTTTTTTTAAAAATTTTTTGTTGAGGTGAAATTCACATAAAATTAATCACCTTAAAGTGAACAGTTCATTGGCATTAGTACATTCACAATGTTGTGCTTCTACCACCATCTAGTTCCAAAACATTTTCATCACTTGAAAAGAAAACCCCTAGCCCATTAAGCAGCTGCTGCTTATTCCTCCCTCCCTGTATCCCCTGACAACCACCAATCTTTGTTCTGTCTCTAGTGAACTTCCTATTCTGAATATTTCATATAAATAGAATCATACAATATACAATATGTGATCTTTCACGACTGACTTCCTTCACTTAGCATAAAGTTTCCAGGTTCATCCATTTTGTAGCATGTATCAATACTTTTTATGACTGAGTAATAGTGCATTGTATGTATGTACCACATTTTGATTATCCATTCATCAGGTGATATTGAACTTCTATCAGATTGTATATGATTTGCAAATATTTCTCCCACTCTGTAGATTGTCTTTTCACTTTCTTAATGATGGGTTTTGATGTACAAAGTTTTAATTTGAAGAATTCCAATTTATCCAAACATTTTTTTTTTAAGGAATAGAATCTAAAGATGTATAAACAGTGAAATATGAGAATGACATTGTCTTGGTCATCTAGTGCTGTTATAACAGAAATATCACAAGTAGATGGCTTTAACCAACAGGAATTTATTCTCTCTCAGTCTGGTAGGCTAGAAGTCCAAATTTAGGGTGCCAGCTCTAGTGGAAGACTTTCTCTCTGTTGGCTCTGGGGAAGGTCCTTGTCATCAGTCTTCCCCTGGTCTAGGAGCTTTTCAGATGCAGGAACCCTGGGTCCAAAGGACACATTCTGCTCCCGGTGCTGCTTTCTTGGTATGAGGTCCGCATCTCTCTCTGCTTACTTCTTGCTTTCATATCTCAAAAAAGATTGATTTAAGACACAACCTAATCTTGTAGATTGAATCCTGTCTCATTAACATAACTGCTGTTAATCCCATCTCATTAACATCACAAATGTAGGATTTGTAACACAGAGGGAAATCACATCAATTGACAAAATGTTAGACAGTCACACAATACTGGGCATCATGGACTAGCCAAGTTGACACACATGTTTTGGGGGACACAATTCAATCCATAACAGACATGAACTATTTCTATAAGGAAAGCAGGAAATGTGTTTCTGGTGGTATATTTCAGTGTGTAAACATTTGCTTTATGGAAAGTAGTCTGAAAAGGATTCAGAGGAGAGGAAAATTAGTGATACAAGGAGGGTATGGTATTTTTACAGAGAGTGACTTAGAAGACAGTTAAAAGTGAATCAAGGGGAAAACTTTGAAAAAAAAATCATTAAGCTATATAACCAGCATGATTACAGACCTAGATTTAAAAAGGCAAACAATACATATGATTGAAACAGAAGGGCACAAGTAGCGTGATGTCAGAGGAATGGCAAGTGAAAAGAGGCAGAGTTTGGAGATGGGACATGATTCAGAAAGAAGCATGAGAAAAAATTGGATCTAGGCCCAACTTCTCCCTCCATTTTCACTCTACCCTATGTGAGTAGACAAGTAATGCAGTCATAACGGCTGAGTAGATTGAACCTAGACAGAGAAACACCTTGAATCAGTTGGAAGAGGTAATTGCTGTAGTACCAGGAAGTGTTAACTTCTAGAAGTGTTTGTAAAGGACACAGGTAAAGATTTAAACATGAATTTTAAGAAAGGAAATAATACCATGGTGGCTGGGGCCAAGCTTTTGTTTCCTTTTCTGTTAAAGGTTGTTTGTCTTAACAGAAGCCTTTCAAAACTAAGTAGTGGTGACAAGCCTCCACAAAACTTCCTAGTCTCTCAGCCTGCCCACTCATGGCCTAAGACAGCTGTCATCTTTGTCACTGAAAAAAGCATCTCCTGTTTGGAAGAGTTCATTCCACTCCCCACATACACCATCAGAGTGTTTTGCAGGTAACAGTTAGTTGCCCAGCAAATGTAGCTGAATGTAAACTGAATTACTCATCATAGTCTCCTGCTTCTTGAGTTTATTGCCACTATTTTGAAGGCTAGCGTGTTAAGTAATAATTTAACCTACTCTTAATAAAGTCCTCTTTCCGTCTTCCTACATTCTTACGACCTAAAGTGTTTGGAGGAGGGGGTGCTTTTTTTTTTATAGCTAGCGTTTGTTTTTCTTAGCTTCCTGAACCAAAGCAGGGAAACAGGAACACTGCTTTTTGGGCTTTGTGACATTTGGCAAATGATTTCCTTATCTGTGCCTTTGTTTTCCCATCTGTAAAATGAGAGTGGTAATATCCAGTGCTGAGAAGGTGCCTGATTGCATCTGGAAAATACTTGCAAGTTGGCAACCGTATCTTACTTATTCAGAAATACTAGTAGTGATAAAATTAGTCCAAAGCCTTTTCCAGTGCTCTTGGCACTCCCTGGGACTTCCCTCAGTTTGAAAGCAAGGAAAGTTATTTAAGCGATTAAAATTATCTTTGGATAAATATGTTCAGATCGCAAGTGGGGGGCAGTTTATGTTGGATTCTCAATAGTAAATTAAATTTTGGTTGAAATTTTGCCGTTAATGAACTTATAGTTAAATGTATTTAATGGAAAAAGTATGCCTACACCACTCATATTCTAAAATAACCTGTTACTAGAAGCTGTTTCTCTGTTGGCTGGCTATGAGGGAGTTTTTACTGCTAGTAGGTCAGAATATTCATCAGCATTTTCCTGAATATACACAGATTCTAAAAAGCCAGGTCATTTCCAGGTTAAGTATTTGAAACTTCTAATGAGGCATTGAGTCGTCTTATGTGAATTTCGCTATGCTGTGGGCTGACTCTCCAGCTAGGGGCAGTCATTACACACACGCGCGCGCACACACTCACACACCAGTTTCCTAAGTCCAGTGAGCACAGGAATAACAGCAAGGATAGCCAACCTGTGTTTGAATCATTAGTAATATGGTCGTAAAAATATGATACATATTTTTTTGGTTATGGTCAGTTTTTTACTAAATTATTTAAAGGAATAAAGATAGTATAACCTTAATTGGAACATGGGTCTTTCGTTCAGGATGGTTAGGTATATTTTCTTAGTCTAGGGTTACAAACTCAGATTGCCTACAGAGCCAGACAGAAAAACTAAATGAGGGGAGCTTGCCAGGCCTAAGACAGATAGGAGTAGTGGGAGCTCTGAAAACTCAGAAGGCATTCTTGGCTCCAGCCAGTTGTTGCCATGTAGGAATTTGTGCCTGGTGTTAACAGATTGTCTTTTTAAAGAGAAGCTGAAAATCTGGATTTTTATGGGGAAAAGCATTGACCATTTATGAGGAATATTGAGGATCTGATGTGATAAGAGCTTTGAGTGTCTGGAAGAGGGTTGTGAGATTAAGGTTGATGAGGATCAAATTGTGGAAGCCCTTGAATGTGAAGCTGAGATTTTATTCTCTAGGGAATGGGAAGACAATGACCCAAGGATTTTAAGCAGGGAGTGATGTGGTTGGAATGATGCTTTAGGGAGAGCAGTCATAGGAGGCTAGTGCCATGGTATAGCTGAGAGGTAATGAGGTGGTAAACCAGAACAGTGTTGTTGGAGAAGGTGAGGAGATATACAACAGACATCTTAGAGGTGGAATTTGCAGATGATGACATGTTCAGATTTAATTCACTGCAGAGGAATAAGTCAAAATTAGTTCTGATGTCTTGAACCCCGGTAACTGGAAGAATAACAAGATGAGTATTAAAAAGAAGATTTGAAGAGAAAATTAGTTTAATTTTGTGCTTTCCCTCAGTTAGTTTGGGAGAGGGGAAGATTTGAAGTTAGCGGTTTGGGAGTCATTTACATAGAAGGGACTATTGAAATTGTTACATTAACATGGGATATGGAAGAGCAGGCACTCTTAACTTGCAAATTTGATTGTGCATTTTCTGGGCAGGATTGAGGGTGAGGTGCAGGGAATAGTCCCTAGTTTTCAAAGGGAGCTGCGAGGCAGAAATGGTTAGGAACCATTGATTATGAGAAACGAGCTAAGGACCAGAACCTTGGAGAACACCTTCTTACTGGGATGGGGAGCAGTGAGGCCAGAGGTAAGCCAGGATAGTACAGGAAACAATTCAAGAAAGGGAATGTTTTGAGGGGGTGGCGGTTTGAGAGGAAGGGTGGTGATAGATAGTGTCAGATGCAGAGTTTGAGGTATTTAATTTTAGACATGAACTCTTAATTTTCCATTGTCAGTGTCCTCCAGCCAAAGACTACTAGGAACCCACCAGTAGTAGAACAAGCTCACTTTTATTACTTCTTACAGCTAAAGAGAACCTATACCACAGGGAACCATGGGGCCACTCAGTAAGAGGGTGTTAGAAAGGACTTACAAGATTTGGGCTTCTTAGGTGATTCTGGGGAAGGTTTAAGGAAGCAAGGCTTTGCTT